TGTGTGTGAGTGTCTGTGTGTGTGTGTGTCTGTGTGTGAGAGAGTGTGTCTGTGTCTGTGTGAGAGTGTGTACCTGGTCCTGTCAGACGCGGCGCTGCTGCTGCTGCTGCTGGTGGACTCTGAGTCGGAGCTGGAGCGTGGCAGACTGCGCTCGTTCCTGTACACCAGGAAACTCTCGGTCTTCGGCTGACTGCTTCCACCAAAACCATTACTGTGAAGATCTGAGACGTGCACAGCATGAAAAGAAACACAGTTACACTAGCTATGTTTCCATCACCCTGTTTTTAAGTGATGTATCGCATCAGAAACAAGTGATGGAAATGCCCAATTTCAATTAAAAATCCCTTCATTTGCAAAAAAGTTTTTACGCTCGCTTGAGGTGGTTTTTGACTTGTGCGAAAGAGGGTTAATGTAAATAATGGGAGATGGAAACATCTGCCGAATTCCTCCAAGCGCATCAAAAAAGTCATGCGACTCGGCGCTATGGGATGGCAAAACCTGACAAACCAGTGGACCGATCTCATTCCACCGCATTTGAAATGTTGTCATGGTCATTCTGAAATGCCCGAGCAAAGTCTGTCGTCAAAGTATTTCTGTATAATTGTCTCCCAGAACCGTCTTACATGACTGCGTTCCCAAACATCCACCTTCGAGAGCAAGATCGCATTTACCGTTACATCTGCTCGTTCTGAGGCACAAGGTGCAATTTATTATAAAAGAAAATTATTATATTCAGTGGCTTCTCCTACTTTTCTTAGCGATTTAAGTATTTAAGTGCCAGTTTATCAGGAAGTGATGATTTTGTTCTCTTTGACTCGTTGGATGGAAACGGTGCTTATTCGCATACGTTTTATGCGATACTCCAATTTTGCACAAAAGTTACATTTGCAGTTTTGGATGGAAACTTGGCTACTGACAAAGTTTATATAGTAGCGGAGATTTGATTTATAGTATATAGCTTTTGATGTGATGTACGTAAAGGTTGGATTTACTTGCATAACTCATTGTTATTTGTTAATTTAAGTTACCAATTCATTATCGGGTGATATTGAAAATTATGAAAGCTGTCAGGTTTTGTTCTAATTATGACAATCTGACAAGCCTAATTACTCTCCAGTCATGTGCATCACTGACACGGTGAATGATGTAAATGACAGGATTAAAATTCCAATCATACGGATGTCATGCTTCGTTTTTGAGCCTAAACAGCCGCTGTACAGAAAAGAGCTGCATGATCAACATTTGTAGATTTCCACTGAAAAAGTAAACGACACTAGGGTGGGTAAATAGTGATTTTTTTTGGTGAACCAGGCTTTGTTTTCCATTCGAGCACTCACCCTGGTGTCTTCATTAGTCTTCTGCTGGTGGGGACTTCCCAGCATTCAAGCCTCATTACAGAAAACATCTGACTCACAGAGAAGTGTGGGAGTTTCCTCATAGTCAGTGTGTGAATATGAGCAGTGATGACTGAAACTTTGACATGCATCCAGTTAAAACAGCAGGATTCAATGAAGAACCGCAGAAGTCTCTCAGCAGCAAAACAAATATAGAAGTGTGCTGAGCTGAGGCTGTAACTTCACCGCCTCCAGTCACATCTGCCAGTGCATTCTCTGCAGCATTACTGAATGTGACGGGACTCCACTGCATGCTCATGTGAACACAGGGTAGTATCAGGGTTCACAGATTTACTCGTCCTCATGGCTGCTGTCTGTTTAAACTGTGATGTGCACCAGACAGCATTTGGCTATGATGACTATTTGAAGTCTAACTGATATTTAGCTTTCATACGCAAATTTGTTTGTGTTGCCAGAGACTGTATGTAGCTGTATAGAGGCCACAGTCAGAAATTAATAGGGACCTGGGGCAAAAATGGCAACAAAATATATGTGTTGAGCGCATGAATGCAATGGCCATTCAGATGCGTTCAGACTAGTCAGCAGGGAAGAAATCTGCTGCGCTGCACTCTTGCAAGTGCTCACATCATATCTGCACTTTGTAGTTTATAATCGGAGTAGGACATTCGTTTGGCAGTGTACAGATCGTCAGTGATTTTGATTTTCTAATGCATAAAAAAGCACTAAACTAATTCAGATTGTTTTGCCTGAGTAGCCTAAGAATATGACACGTCATTTCCCCAAACACAAAAATGGTTTGTATGCTCTTATTAAACAATAATCATTACAATAGCAAAAGCAATAATCAACAGTAATGATTTATTATAATATTCCAGCCCTAACTTGTAACGAGTTCCTGTTAGTTGTTTTAAAATGTATATACTGTATATAGGATTTTTAAAATAACATTAATCTCACACATTTATTTATTTATGTCTCAGAACGGCTCTGTTCACACTGAATGAATGCAGTCAACTCATTTACTGCATGTGCTGTGAGTTTAGCGTGCGTTTGGGAATGAAACAGCCACCAGTAAGGCTTTATTTTCACAACAGCATATCACTAGATCTGTAGCGAGACAGGTTTTTGTAAGTCTGTTTTCACTGAGCTGGAGTTTCCTTCAAAATAAAAGCGTTAAAGTGCAGTATGAATTGCTGACAGCTAGCGGTTTAAACGCAGTCCAAATTCAAAATATCTCTTTCAAGTGTAGAAATTAGGAAAGAAGTATTGTCATTTCCCTACTGTAGTGTAAAGCAAAAATAATATGCCTATGAAATATTCATTTTCATTTATTTTACAGTGCAACTGTTTTACAATATATGGCTATTACTGTCGTTGTTATTATTTTATTCTAATTTGCTTGGCTTCCTAAAACCCCAGTGTGGATGTAATTTAGACTGAGACCGTAGATCACAAATAAAAAGAGGGTCGCCTTTAAAGTTCAGCTACAAGTCAATTCACTGACTTCTTTCTGATTTTAGTTTTCTTAGTTAAGAATAAGGGTCGGAGCTCTTAATTTTGAACTCTCAAAGTGCATTAGATAGTATAATTTAACCTTAAAATGAACACAATTTTCATTTTATTCCAATTCTTCAATGGTCTTTTTTTTTTTTTTTTAAATATCGCAATAAATACCGTATTGTGGACTTCATGTCGTGATATTATTGTATTGTGAGATTTCGATATCATTACATCCCTACCAGTCTGTAATGTCACCTGGTCTTTACATGAAACTTGCTCTCACAAAGTCATATTCATCAAATATCCAGAAGTACTTTTTAAAAATACTCACATCTAATTAAATGTGGTTATCCATTATTTAGTAATGGTTAACTCTGCAGCATGCCATGAATGTATGGTTTATTAGGCTGCATGTCAGTCATGATGCTGCCTTAGAAGGGTGCTTCTATGAGTGTGTGGATTGGAACAGACGTACCCAGGATGAGGTGATCGTGTTCACTGTCGAACTCAGAGCTGGAGCTGGACTGGGGACTGTGGGCTCTCTTGCGGGATGAGGCGAGCTGCGGAGGGCCTATTGGACTGGACCCCAGCAGCCCTGGCCCATGCAGCGCCTCTCGGTTCTTAGGGGGTCGACCCGGGCGCTTGGGAGGCCCGGCCGCTTTAGGGTTCTTCTTGGAGAAGAGGACAGAGGTACGCCGGCCGACCTCAGGGGCCAGAGCTGAAGATGATGTGCTCAGATCTACAGAGAGGAAGAAAAGCCTAAATATGTGTCCATTTAAAAAGAATCAGTTTTTGAGGATGACTGAATTCAAATGTAAAATACTGAGATGGTGTGGTATGTGTGTGGTAGCTATTAAAGCGGCAAAGACCTGACGAAGACCTTGTTTGGGTCAAATGTTAAGTTTTATGAGAGCAGATAAAACAGTACGCCGTCTTTTCTTTTAGTTACTGACGTGGACCAACAGAAACTGGTGTATCCTCCTGCATGGTTAAATCCAACACAAATCAGCTACTTGTGGCCAATTATATTATTTAACTCATTTATATGGTCATTTTAAGTCCAATGGGAGGTTCCTTAATTTACAAAGAAATAACACTATACGTTTTAATTGAGATGTGCCATCTATGAACAGAAGCATGCCATCTAGTGCTCAACCATTCCCACCAACATTATGTTCATATGTTAAAACATTAGGCCTACATATTTAATAATAATAATACGAGTAACCTGGTTTGTGTGGTCATGAAACTCTTCATATTTTACTTTATATCCAAAGTTTATTGGATTATGTAATGTACTATTCTAGATGAACAAAATTATACTGCATATTCAAATACAGCATAAAAAGAATGAAAAAGCATCTAGATTTTCTGATGAAAATATGAACGGTGTTTGCCCATGTTGAGTACTACTGTGATATTCTGCTCTCTATGGCTCGGCTCCCTCCTTTAATGCAATTTATTTAACCTGTTTTATTCTCCACCGGGGGAAAATCTCAAGTCTGATTGTTGTTTAAACTAACAGCATACCTCTCCTCAACAAGCTGCACGATTTGAGGCATCACAGAAAAACTGGATGAGCTGCATGACACAGTGTTATCTGGGGTTGGTTCAAAGCGGTTTGTGGTATTTTCTGACCTTTCCCACCGATCTCGTGGCTGCTGCTCTCTCCTTCATCGTGACGGTTTTCCCCCGAGGCGTGATGCGCGAGGACCGAGCCGCGCTCCAGAGACAGGCCCGACTCGAGGCTGCCCATGCCACAGATGCCCTCGCGATGGTGCGCCAGTTTCCGCTTCAGTACCGTCATCTCTTTCTTCAGGACTTTAGCTCGCCGCGACTGGCCGATGCTGTGCTTCCCCGATATGACCACATCGTAGCGCGTCTCCAGGATCTGCAGCTGCTCCTCTACAGGCAGAGAAGACGACAACAGAACATTCACTTTCCATGTAAAAAGGTGCAAAACTCGATCCGACTCATTTATTTGTCTTTTCAGAAAACGGTCAGTGAAGCGAGCTGCTTAACCTTTGGCAAACCACTAGACTGATCATCTCATTTATTCATTCATTTATTTTCTGAGGTCTACAATATCTGCAATCCTATTACCAAAATTTGAAACACGTCTGAAAACAGTGAACAACCTCGATTTTTTTGTGTTTTACTACAAAAAGTTTGACTAAGTCATGTTTAATTGTAATTTCTCCTGATAGGCTACTTGTTTCATATTAGCCTCTGCGCTTTGACCGGGCTGTGGGACACGAGCATGACATAGGCCTATATATAATTCATTCCTACAACTTGTTAATTTGTTCCTACGAATCTGTGGCCATGGTCCATGTTTTATTAATTTGGGAATGAATGATTAAATCATAGGAACAAATTCTTAATTCACAGCCACAAAATCTTTTATTTCCCACCGCATGTTTATCACAGTAAGAAAACAGGGATTAAAAGTGAATGACAATAAAATAAACCTGCGAAATTAGAGGGTGAGACAATAAATATTATTAAATTTGTGGAAATTCGTGACCAAACAGCAACACAGAACACAAAGCTGTGTATGGCTTTCAATGTATCGAATGGCATGAATCCGAAAGCATGGTCGCAATATAATATTTGCCTGCTATTTTTTCTCTTGTAACAAAGCTTTGTACTTCACTTGTGTCATAATACTCACATAAAAATGTTTAAAGGGGTCATATGATGCGATTTCTAGTTTTCCTTTCTCCTTGGAGTGTTACAAGCTGATTGTGCATAGATAAGATCCCTGAAGTTGCAAAAACTAAAGTCTCAAAACCAAAGAGATATTCTTTATCAAAGTTAAGACTCTGCCACGCCCCCCTAAAACGGCTCGTTCTAACATGCCCCCACATATCTACCTCACTATGTGGAAATATTAGCATAATGCCGCCCAAATGTGCATGCAAAGAAAGAAGGCGTGGTTTCAGTAACTGCAGTTAGTGTTGAAGCAGCATGTCAGGGAGACGCTGTGTGTTTCTAGGCGAAAGCAAAAGCACTTTATTTGGCCTTCCGAAAGTAGATGCATTTAGGAATCTTTAAGATTACTTACAACAGAACAGCAATGCATTTTATGGACGACCGTTTCGTGAACCTAGGAGAGGAGGTCATTCTGACTTTGCTATGACAATCTGGCGCTTCTGAAT